TGAACAGTTCCAAAAGTCAAACCTGGACGAATATAGCGGGACGGAGGTAGTAATAATTTTGATTCGATTCGTGATTCATATTCGAATTCAATTATTCGTATTCGAAAAAAATAAATACGAATATGAATATAAATATTTATTAGAATTCGAAAGAAAACAAACACGAATACAAATGTATATGTATTCGATTCGATATGTTAATAAATATATTCGAATTTAAATATAAAAATTTATATCTAATATATATTTGCCTCATAATACAAAGTACTCCGTAGGAGCAAGTTTTGCCTACACACATCCTCTCCAGTCCCTACGCTCGTTGGATCTAACTAGGTTGTAGTTGTAGACATGTCATTTTTAGTATTCTATTAATTTTGGGAAAAAGACTAAAGTAACATTTAAAATAAACCAAAACTAAATTATATATTTTTATTCTCAAAATATGAGTTAAAATGCATTTACAGTGTACATTACTAAAAAGTATTGTTGATTGTTCATATGCATTGTCACATTACCAGTGCAAACTCCATATTTTAAAGATATAATATGAACTTCATATTTTGATACTTTTTCTATATTTTACTTTTATTTAAAATGATTTTTTTACTAGTTTTTAAAGCTATAAAACATAAAAATAAAAAACCATATTTCTTTTTTGAACAGAATGCACAAATATATTACCACATCGCACGTTCGAATACATCCAACAAGGCAAAAACCTATCTCAAGACTATTTTTAAGGCGGTAATTAATGAAAGTCCTCATTTGAAATTTTATCCATTCTATGCTTTTCTCAATAGAAACCAATCTCTCTTGCTGGATCTTGAGATTGCAAGCCTTCCACACAGCAGCAAATCCAGCTATCGCTATCTCTCCCCATTGCTGCACAGCACACAACTAGTGTCAATCTCCAGGAATCTCTGTAATCTCATCTTAGGGCATGGAAAATACTCATGAAGCCCTTCATTAAGCCTTGGGACTTCAAACCAGAACTTCAAACTTTCTCTCTCTGCCACGTCGGTTTAACTTACCTCACAGTTTTAGTGGAAATGGGTTTGAAGCCCAGGGGCTTCAAACCTTCATTTTTTAAATTTTAAATACACATCTTTTAAAATTAAATTAATTAAATTTAAATATTTAATTGTTTAAAAGAATTGAAACAAGAATAGTTCATTAAAAAATTTGTATTCATTATAAAAAATTACATTCATTATAAAAAAACTACATTCATTAAATAAAAAAATTACATTCATTAATTAAAAAAATTACATTCATTAAATAAAAAATTACATTCATGAAATAATAAAAAAAATAGTTGACTAATAATTTTTTTAAAAAAGATGATAGAGAAATTTGTATTTGTGTTGAATTTTAAAAAAAAAATTGATTTAATTTATAGAGAAGAAAGGAGGAAAAAGAAGGATGAGGCATTATCACGCCTTCAAATTGCGTCAAAACTTTGACGCGGGAGTTTTAACGCTCCAATAACAGGGGAGGGGACGGTGTTTAACGCCTCCCAGGCATCAAAGTGAAGATAACGTGGGTGGGCATTATGTCCATTACCACTGCTCTTAGTGGTAATAAAAGAATACGAATCCAAATACGAATATTAAAATTTAATATCAAATCGAATATGATTAGTAATAATTATTTGAATAAAAAGCGAATATAAATATGAATAATGCTATCATTTTTCAAATATGAATAAATTTTCACAATATTCGATTCGATTCATTCATTTTAGAATCCTAGTTGAGTATGAAAATTAGCTTCTCCAAATAATTCCAAATAGCTACTCCAAAAAGCTTAAAAGCCACTTTTTTTTGTGAAATAACCAATGCCGGAACTTACTCATTAAGCAACTCCCCCAATAGAGGAGAAAGAACAAATGAAGATAGCCATCTCAATTATTATCAAATTCCTAACAAAATGTTTTAATCAAAAGTTAAAACTTGGGATTGTACTCAAATGAAAGATTCCATTCTCTAAATTAACGTCCTAGAACTGTTTTTGCAATTAAAAAAACTCTCAATTAAAAGACTTCCTACTACATGAATCCAAAAATCTAAACAAAAGTGTTCGAAATTCATCATGGATGATAACTGCTTTTTATTTTGTAAAATACTGTCTTTAAGCTTTGTGAATCGATTATTTTTTATGAACTTTAAGCATTCATAGACGATTATCACTTGTGTATGTACAAATTCGCATACTATTATCAATCTGTTGAGTTTCTAGTACGACTCAAATTTAAATACTCCCTCCGTCCCAAATTATAATGTCTGTTTACTATTCACATGGTTAAATTCATTAACTTTCTTTCTCTATTTTTGTTAGCAATTTTATAAAATAAAATACTATAGTCACTCCTAGTTTTGTAGATCTTTTGATGTAGTATTTTAATATGTAATTTTTATTTTATAATTATATACCATTTGTCATATAAAATGATTTGAAAATAATTTCAGTCAAACATCATAAATTGAAACAAGCGTTATAAAATGAGACGGAGGGAGTATATCGTTTTCATAGCCAATAATAACCCTACGTGCTCACTTTGTCACAAATCACAATACTATTCCAACTTCATGAATCCAAAATTTGAAATGTATCCATGTCAGAGCCAATAATAAGCCAACTAGTTCTTTTTGTCACAATACTGCGGAGTATCCCATTACCATCTGTTTTTAATACTATTTGTTTTGGCTTTCTTAGTTCGTAAGTCTTCAAAAATATCTTCGCCAAATAAATAGAATCATCTTATTGTCGGATTTTAATACGTTTGAATAATGCAAAAATATAGCAGGGTGAAACAAACCATATACGTATACAAAATACCACTGGATCCGGAATATTTATACTGTGCTTTTTACAAGTTGTCAAAGTAGACCACTTTCTAAAACAATTAGACAAATATTAGTCGGTGGGTGTCGAGTAGTTGGCAAGGCAAAGAATGCCAATGAGATAAGACGTTCGATGCCTGGCAACTGCGCTGGAAAAAAAATATGTTAAGCATAGGGAATGTGCAAGTATCGGGTAAAAACTGTACTTTTTGACACCAATATGCGAATAAAATTCAATTTACTTCCTAGTAAACGTTTGGCCGGGTCTAAGCCCTCGGGAATGGGGCTCTTCCTTTTTTCAAGACAAATATTTACCTCAATCACATTAAGAAATTCTAGTCTTAGAAAGTTAAAAACAAAATAAAGAGATTAAAATATTTGTAAAAAATAGAAATAGGGCGACATTAGGGGGGAAATAAGAGAAAGTGAAAGCAAAGTTTGATATTAACAGAGTACAACAAACATAACATTGCTTAGTAGCAAAACTACATAACGCATAAAAGTAAGCAGTTTGATATGATGATGACTGGAAACATAGAAAAGAAAGCAGCACTATGTACACAAATCAGTTTGTCACAATACAATCCCATGAAGAATGTGTTCATCATCCCCAAGTTGTGAAACCTTTCAAGAATGGAATTGGATGGGCACAATGTCCATTTTGATTGTGGCCATGGAAAGATCAGTTCATCTTCTCCTTCCTTCCCTGGTCTCTGAAAGCCCACGCTGGTTGCGCCGGAATGCGTGTCATCGCCTTCACTCCAAGTGGGTTCTGTTTGCTCTGCATCAATATTGAAATTCTCAATACTCATTTCAGGTATTCCTAATAGTTATTAGTATGATGATGAATGAAAGATATACCTTTGAGCAGGTGCCATGTCTAGTGTTGCAAACAGGGTAGTCGTGAGGGCAGCAACTGTAGTGATCCTCACAGCACACGGCGCTGGTGAGAGGGCAGCAGCCCCAGGAGAAGCAGTAGTTTCCAAAGGGGAAGACACAGCAGCAGGTGGTGCTTGATGGGCAGGCGTTGTATTGGTCACAAGCATTGGGAGCCGCTGGGGATGGAGGAACCGGAGTAGGAGGGCTTGGTGGGGTCGGAGGAGGGTTTTGCCCGCTCTTCGTAGGGTAAGAAGGCTCGATTGCTATGCCACACAAGCCAGCTTTTGCGTTCACATTGCGCTGCATCCTCACGTACCCTTTCTCCCCCCAGGCTGCTCCCCAAGAATTCTTCACTATCCAATAGTCAACACCATTTTCAGTCCCGTAACCAACCGCAGTCACACCGTGGTCCAAATCAGTTCCGCATGATCCAGTGAATATACCCTGAGAATGCATTATGAAATTACAGATTTGGACCAACAATCACAACATATTGTGACTAATATAGTTCTTGATTTTGATCCATTTGAGCCAACAAACCCACTCAAAATCAACTAGAAATCGTACGGGAATTGAATGGATAACATGTCAAAATAATCAAGGGTAGCAAACAATAATTAGAGTATAGTAACATTGAATGGAATACCGATTGATAGAGTTGGAAGTCCCTTCCACCAGCTTCAATAGCAACGGCAATAGGCTGATTTGCCAGAGCCTTCTGTAGGGCAGCCTCGTTGTTTGCAGGAACATCTTCGTACCCATTAATAGTAACAACCTTGGCATTGTTTTTCTGTTATTAAACAAGTTTGTCAAGAACAAAGTTTAGTACCCACTCACTCAAGAAACTAAGAACCCTCACATGAAGTTCTTTTGATCTATTAAAGATGAGCAGATTAGGAAGAAAGCTAACCCTGTACGAATCGCATCTGCCATCTACCCCGGTATAAGGGTAGTCCTTCTCAGTGTCAATGCCTCCATTCTTGATGATGAACTCAAAAGCATCATCCATTAAACCACCATTGCAACCTTGGTTGGATTGTGTGTCACAGTCCACCAGTTCCTGCTCAGACAGTGAGATCAGATCACCGGTGACGATCTGATTCACTCCCTCAACCGCTGCGATTGTTGAAAACGCCCAGCAACTCCCTGTTTCATTCCCAGGTAGTCAAGAACACTATCTCCATCTTTTAATTAAGCTCTCATTGACAACTAATCACTTACAAAGCATCACTTAATGTACATCTTTTTGTTCATCACTTTGTAGTGTATGTAAGCTGATTTTGGGTTGGGAATCTTTGCATTGAGTTTTTGTATTATTTTTCAAATCAACTTTTAAAAAGCCAGGTTAGGATCGGATAACTTTTCAAAAACTCTAAAGCTAAATGCTTAAGATAATGGTAAACAGAGATGTCACCATTACAAAATTATATCAAAATTTTCATTAAATAAGCAAAAAAAGAGATTATTTAACTTTCTTTATCACATGTAAATACAGAATAGCAAACAGAAAATCGGAATAATTTTTTTGGATATTGGAATAATTAATTTATTGTGGAATATATTAAAAAAAATAAAACCTTCATATTTTAGAAAGTGCATTATTTCTCGACAGTACGAACACGGGTAGCATTAAAAATTATCTGATCACTCCATCTATCGTGGAACAAAACTCGCCACAAAAGCGGATCCAAAAAAAGCGATATTATTGGAAAGGGTAAATATGTAAAATAGGCACGAGACAAAGTGGAAAGGAGCGTGTGACCTACCGCATCCGCCTTGATCTTTGACATCTACCACCGCACCCTTCTGCCTCCAGTCGACGGAGCCCGGCAAGGTCTCGCCTTCCACCGGAGCATAGCGGTTGCTCTGTCCCTTCAGGATCTTCCGGCGAGCGTCCCTTTTGGTACCGAGGTACCCGGTCCGGTACTCCTCGTTCGTGATGTCCGCGAACCGGTTCAGCCCGAGTTTGTAGGTCCGATTCTCGGCACTGTTCTGCTCGTCGATGTACTTGAGATTGTCCTTGAAGATCTCGAGCCTCCGGCCTTTTTCACCGAGAGCGTTGTACGCCTTGCCGTGTTTCACCAGCCACGACTCGAAGAGCTCGACGATCTCCTCCTCCGATCGGATCAACCCCTTCGCCGGATGATTCTCGTCGTAAGTTATGATCGACATGTCCGCCGCCGCAGAGCAAACGGCGACGGCCACCAAGAGAAGGAGAACCAGAGTTCTAGGCATCTTCCTTGTCGGGAAGGAGACTGATCGGAGAAGATTGTTGAAAGAGGGGAAGAGATTTGGGGGGAAGGAGACCTGGAGATGAGGGTAAAGGAGAAGCGTATTTTAAAGGGAAAATTTGAGGGTGTTATGGTCAATGCACCTGGTCATTTACAAGTGGGACTAAATGAAGTTTTTTTTTAAAAAAAAATTAAACTCCGTAACAAATTGAAGATTGGAACTGGGAAGGTCACATGCTTCCTACTCCTATTTGGTTGGTTTCATATAATTGGCACTTCCCATACTTCCTCCAAACCAAAAGAATAAATCTCACTAGGAATCATGAAATAAATTTATTTTTAAAATTGAAAATCATTATAGAAATAAAAAATGTTCTGTACAATTTACATTATTTAAAATTATATCAGAAGTCTTTTTGAACAAAACGTAACAAAAATATTTTATTTTATCAAATAATTAGTTAAAAACAGATGAACAAACGAAAATTCTCGAGAGAACATAATAATTGATGATTGTATTCTCACCCTGAAGACTACAGCCCCACTGCAAAATTTATCTAGGTTAATCGTAACCATTCCAGGGGTCTGCCGAAACAAGCAATTAAGAATCCGACCGGGTGGGTCTAGTCATCCGGGTAAAACACGGTTACTTCACCAATCAACAAGCAAATACAGGCAAGCGTAAAATTCATAAACCACTCGGGCGATTTATCGGGAAAGATCACCCGAATAGACTATCGGGGATCGCCCAAATCTTCAGGTAGGCGTATTTTGGAAGGTAGCGTTTGGAGAGGGTCGGGTCCTTCGCACTGAGTAGCGTGTCCAAACACTACAAGATAAAACATAGTGAGACATCAATCAAGAAAGATGGCAAAACAATACAAGACAAACATGAGTCACTTCCTCACATGGTGAACAATGGCGGACGGCGCCTGTCTCCCCCCTCCATTTTATGCTATAAATACCATGTGAAATCCCCAAAAAGAGAGGATCCAAATTCTCTCACTAAAAATCTCTTATATACTTTTCCCATGTGTTATTTCCTATATTCAATAACAATCGGAGTACATGTGTTCCAACTACAGTCTTTTTGCTTATTTTACTTCAGTAAGTCACCATAGACCTTGTCTATAGTAATTTACCCCGTGTGTAATTTACACCATCAATAATAATTTGGACAGGGTTTTGGGACAGTGGGGATATATTTTTTGGGTTTGTTTGGAACTAGTTCAGTGTTTTTGTGATGGAGGAAGTATATTCTATCGGTTTTTGGGACGGGGGAGTTTATTACCTGGTCATTTATTTTTTATATTTTCCTTGTCGTAAGAGCTTATTAATGTTCTTTCCATTGCCTACTTTTTTTAAATTTCAAGATTATAAAGAATAATATGAAAGAATATATCGTGATAATATTATTTTGAATTTGGTATAATGGATTGGAGATTTAACATTGTTTGATTTGATATTAACTGTATTTTGAGTTTATGTTTGATGTGAATGGTTGAAGATGACCCAAAACGGAATGAAAGTAATTAAAGAGATGAGAATTAATTTTATTTGATGGAATTTCGTAATTAATTTTTTTGCCTAAGTTCAAATTCTGTTTTATCTCATTTATCCTTTAGCTTTATTTATTGTTGAGATGTTGTTTTGTTTTAATTAGTTGTATAATGCATGGAGTATTCTTTTTAGTACACCATTCCTTCTGAATTAATTGTTCGAATTTCATTTCATAGAGTTTAAGAAAAATATTGAAAATATAGACGTATGTATTTGAAATTTATTTATAAGAAATGAAAAAAATTATGTATTACCACATATTTTTTTATTTTATTAACTAAGAAAAAAAACAATTATTTATTTATGGCAACATGCACTTCAGACTCCGGAAGAGTGTTGACTTGCCATTCTTCCTCGAAGAGTGCGTTTTGCTACTCCAAGAAAATTGCATTGAACACATTATTACCCTTGCAGCATATTAGTTGATGATCGTCTATGAGTATTAAAAAAATGAAAAATGTCAGGCGTACACTAAAGGTCTACCCCAAATATCCCCTACCCCTTCCTTATCCATTAAAAAAGGCAAAAAAATTCAAAAAAAAATAAGTAAATAAAAATCAAATAAAAATATTTGGAGGAAAATATGGTGGTGTACATTTGGGATACACCTTTTCGTGTACCCCTAGCATTACTAAAAAAAAATCCCTACCTCGGGTCACATAGTATGTTAAATTGAGTTATAATATTAATTAGTTTGAACGAGAGTAAGAGCAGTGGGTATACTCTTAACGCCGCTGGGCGTTAAGGAGCCTTTCACGTTTGGGGGGCGTTAAACACCGCCCCCCTCCCCCGTTAAACCAGCGTTAAATTTTCCGCGTTATAAGTTTGACGCAATTTGCAGGCGTTTGACGCCTTCTTTTTCTTCTCTCCATCTCTTTTTTCCTCTTTTCTTCTCTATAAATTAAATTAAATTTAACACAAATATAAATTTCTCTCTATCTATCATCTTTTTTAAAAAAATTATTATTCAAGTATTTTTTATATTGTCATAAATATAATTTTTTTATTTAATGAATGTAGCTTTTTATAATAAATGTAATTTCTTTATTTAATGAATGTAATTTTTTTTATTTAATGAATTTAATTTTTTTTATTTAATGAATGTAATTTTTTCTAATGAATGCATTTTTTTAACAAACTATTATCATTTCAATTCTTTTAAATAATTAAATAATTAAAGTTTATTAATTTAATTTTAGAAGATGTTTATTTAAAAATGTAAAAAATGAAGGTTTGAAGCTCCAGTTTGAAGCCCCGGGGCTTCAAACCCATTTCCAGTGAAAATTGGGTGTAAGTTAAAGCTGACGTGGCAGAGAGAGAAAGTTTGAAGCCCCGGGGCTTCAAACCCATTACCAGTGCTCTAAGATTTGTTTTTAATAAGTTAAGGAATATCATGTTTAAAGTGATCATTTTTTGTGATGATATCAGTACTCAAACATGGTTAATCTTATACAACATTATCTTCTCAACCAGTTGAATTACACGTGCAGACCACTCTTGATATGATTACACTCCCCCGTTTCTAAAAATTGTCACAGTTTGACTTTTTTGATCAAACTGTAACACCCTTTGGGGCAATAGTATTATAGAATTTTTGGCACATCGAAAAGTTAGTGAATTACTTATGTGACAGGAGTTGAGGTGGGGCGGATTTAGTCATCATTGTAAATGCTCTAAATCCACTACTCCTAAAATATCTATAATCATAAAAAAAGAATATAGGAATCCCCACCTCGAGTTAAAGAGTGTGTTAAATTGAGTTATTATATTACTCCGTAATTTGAATGAGAATATTAACTCGATTGAGAGTAAGATTTGTTTGAAGAAAACCATGTTTAAAGTGATCATTTCTTCGGGTGATATCAGTATTCAAACTCGATTAATTCTACTCCCTCCCTCCCTAAATATTTGCCACACTTGTATTCTCAAGGCAAAATATCAAATTTTTTCAATTCATTTTATGTACATATTGGTATGGAAATAAAAAATAAAATTTACATATCAAAATACTACATGAAAAGTTCTTCGAAATAAAAGGTGTCAAAAATATTTTATTTTATCAAATAATCAATGAAAACGTAGAAATAAACAAAAGTTCCCGCGACTGCTGAAAAAGCAAATGTTGTGAATATTTTAGGACGGAAGGAGTATATAACATTATCATCTCGACTAGATGAATTACTGGGGCGGAGCACTCTTGATATGATTACTATCGGTCCAAAAGGTGGAATCGCCCACCCCAGGCGCCCCCACCCCCTTGCCCGACAGGAATGGTGGAGGATGTAAATCATGGTGACTCAGTCGGCCAAGAACGCTAGACCCGTGCCCACCGCGCACAAGGAGCCTCCTCACTCTTTATGGGATTTTTGGATAGCTCCCACACTGCCGCTTGCGGGATTCGATCTCTGGTCATCGGTCCAAGATTTCACGCTCTTGACCAACTGAGCTACCCATGCGGGCTTTGATATGATTACTATGTTGAATGACATATAGTGCACTCTTTTTAAAGGATATGGTTCTAAATTGTGGCCCATTCTGGACCCTAAATTGAATACTAAACATTAATTTCTATGCAGCATATTAGTTGATGATCGTTTAAAAAACAATGCATACAGTTTTAAATTATTAACACTCAAGTTGATGGATCAGAGTGAATAAAAATATATTTTCTTCGTCCCAAAAAGATTGGTGCATATTGTCTGTTTGGGAAATTAAGGAGAGGATATTTTAGTGTTGACTTTCCAAAAATACCCTTGATGTGATGGGTAAAAGTATGATGTGATGGGTAGATTATTAAGAAAAAAGTAGTTTTTTAATAGAAATATAACGGACTTTACGGGACACAGTTTTTTCGAAACGTGTCAAACTTTTTGGGTCAGAGAGAGTAAGAGTTTGCTTCATATATTTAATGCAGAGTGATATCATGTTTCAAACCTATGTTGTTCCTCTAAAAATTACGGAGTATCATTTAAGTTTTAATTAACTAACTAAAATCGTTCATAAAATTGACAAATCCGATCTATAAACTCTTTATTTTGGTGCAATATTAAGTTTGGTTGTTATTTTTACAAAATTTTAACACATTTATTTTTTTTATTTAATTGTTCACTTATAATTTTTATTACTCATTTAATTTATTTTTTTAATAAAAAGAATGTATTGATTTTATACATTCCCTACACAATCTGTTTCCTCTGCTCTTTCTCTCTCTTCTGCTCTGCCATCTCTAACGGTTACTCTTCTTCCTCGGAGTAGTCGCCGGTGCGTCGACAGCACCCGTCCTCCCTGCCGGCGGTTTAGACGGTAGTCCGACGGCGGCGGGCGGCGGCGGAACCCAGGTAAGTACACACCTACCCCCACCCCCACCCCTTCTCCAGACCTATCTCCCCCATCCGAACCAGATCCGTTCATCTTCCCTTTGCCTCGCCGAACCAGATCCGTTCACCTTCCCTTTGCCCGCCGACCTGTCCCCTGCCCTACCCCCTCGCTGTCGACCTGTTCCTCGCCCTACCCCCTCGCCG